TTTTTTTTTTAAAAAAAAAAAAGTCTCATGTTTGTGATCATAATTTTCAATTTCCACAACTTTCTGATCGTTTCTTCAATTCTAAATGCAGCTGCTGTGAAGAGAAAGAAGCTGAAGCTGCTAAGGGAGCTTAAAACCCACAATGGCCTCAAAATTCACGACCCGAAATATTCGAAACCCGAATTACTATTCGATGTGCGAGTGTCGATCAATGCAAGCCACCGGCAAGAAAACGTCCCGTTTGTCCATCTCAGGAGTCAACTCGGAGGTCAACCAATCGTGGGGTACCCTGTGGAAATCCAAGTGCTGAAAAACAAGCTTTCGAAAACATTATGCTGTAGAAGGGAAAACAGTGAGTTTGATCGGCTCGTTTGGAAAACGGGCAAGAGGACGCCCGTTTACTATGTCATGAAAGATAGAACTGCCGGTGGTGGCTCGGTAATGCCAGCTGGCAGGAATGGGGAAAAGCTCGATAAGGGAAAACAGTCGAGCAGTCGAAGTTGTGTGCGTGTGGAGCTCGTTTTTGGGAAGTTACTAGCGGCTATCGTCTGATAGATTCTCCGATACGAAGATGGGATTTTTTTATGGATTTGTACCTAAGGCAGAGCTTTGAGTTTTTGTAATGATCACTAGGTACATTGTTGAAAATCGAAATTAGAGTAATTTCTCTATGGAAAATATGTATATATTTATAATTTTGCTGACACCTTTGTGTTTTGATAGCTTTTGTTCATCTGCAACTCATTTACATCTTTACATTGGTGACTTTTGCTTATCCTGTGATTTTTCATGTTCTGATATATCATCTTTTGATACTTGTAAGTGTACAACAGTAGGAAAAACTAATTAACAGCTTCTGTCATTAAAATATTAATTTTGATTTTTATAGAAAGGGTTTTCAGTTATTATAATCTCTCCCTATATATTAATTCAAAACGTGTTGAGCCTAGGTGACATATTCTCACGCTTCGGATGCTGACATGGCGAAAATCTATGCTTCGTGATGTTGTTTTTATATTATTTTTGCTCTGGAATTAAGTTTGGTATTATACATAAATAACTTTACACATATTTATTCATTAACTCAACACTCATGTTGTACATGGATATTAATACAAGTTATATTATAATAGAACTGAAAAAAAAAAAGGTGGGTATCAAAAGCATAGTTGTTAAGAGTGTACGGTTAGATATGGATATATATCCACACAGAACGAGTTTTTTTTTTTTTTTTTCATCAAAGTTAATTTCGAAAAAGATAGTATGATTAGTTATTAGTTAAATTTTAATTTTTTTTTATATTTAAAATAAAATAATTCAAATTAATTTAATGTATATTAAAAAAGAGATAATGTGAATTAATAATTTATTAAAATTACATAAGTAGATAAATAGTAAATTAAAATTGAGGTTATGTCTACAAATAATTGTTTGTATTATTTAATTATACTGATAATATTGAAGATAGTAAAGTTGAATTAAAATTAAGTTAGAATTTGATATAAATTGAAAAATATTATAAACAAACACCTCCTAAATAGCTTGACCAAAATCTAACTGATAAAATAACTAAAAACCAACAAAACTTTTTGAGGAAATATTTTAAAAATGCTACAACTTCAAACTTCAAAGCCTTGGCACAAGTTGATAGACACACAAAATGGAGATCGATGCCCAAAAAGAGAAATCAAATGTACAAACAAACACAAAGATAGATGAACCAACAAAAACCATATGAACTGCAAAGGATAACCGGACTACAAGGTTACGGGCGACTAACCAACCGGCATAAGTCAGTAAAAACTAAACCTCTTCTCCAGTTACTTCAAATGTCGAACAATAAACTGGAACACTTTACATTAGTAGGTCAAGAAAACGTATCAAAAACGAAAAAATTCAAAAAAAAAAAAAAAAGAAACCCAAAGGCTGTTCGAGCATATCTATTCGTAACCAAACTCATTCTTCAGCATGAGATGGATTTGATTTCACCTGGATGGGGTTTCAGATGGCGGCTGAGCATTCAAAGCCGAACTCGAAGGAATCGATGGCAAAGCCCCATTTTCTTGAGATGCAGACCCACCAACACCAACACCCCATTTGGCCTCTGCATCCGATGGCTCGATCACGTGGACACCACCATCACTCATGCCGAGTGCGAATTGGTTCGCGTCCGATGGATGGGCTGCAATTACCGTAGGGTACACACTCCCATTGCTAAAAAAA